GACTTGGGGACTGCGACTGCAGCAGTTTGCCGCGGGAAGCGGCGGCGGCGAGCGGCAGCACGCAGCAGTTGTGGCAGAGCGGCTTTGGGACCGCGGCTTCGGCGGCTTGTTGCAGCAGAGCGGCTCCCAGCAGCGGTGGCGGGGGGAAGCACGCGGCAGGAAATGGCGGCGGCAGGCAGTGTGTGGAGAGGACCGCCCCGAACACGAGGAGAGAACGAGAGAGAGAGGCGTGCTGCGCTGCCTCTTTTATGGGGTTTTCTGCGCTCCCGATTGGCCGGTTTTGTATTTCCGGGCTTTTCAGCCAATCAGACGGGACCTAGTCCCGCCCCTGCTTCCGGCCGCAGCTCCTCCCCCGTAGCCTACACACAGAGGGTTCAGCGCCGCGTGGAGACGCCATTTTAAGTCAGTTTTGTCTGCTGACTCAAAGGACATTTCATGTTCGTGTAAGGAAATACCTGGTCCTTCAGAGCAAACAAGCCTGTTCTGGTGTCCACCTACACAATTCAGATAGTAGTAAGCTCCTGGTTTCCTAGAGCATGACACACCAACCATTGTATGTGAGTCTGCTCTCTCACATATCAATACCTGAGATGGAACTGAAAAGTGTGGCTTTTCAGGAGTTGTAAAGGAACAGGAAAGTTCTTTCTAGGCCAGTTACTTAGCCAATCCAGTTTGCAAGGGCCATAATGTCTTGAGACAGGAGGCACAAAACTGTGATCATGGCAATGACTATGCTTTTCATTTGCACAGCAGGTATTTTACAGTGCCTTAAAAAGGTCAGAAACTTTTTCAAAGCCTCCAGAAACTTCCAAACCAAAGGGTATTTTTTTGCTGAAAGGCAGAAAGGGAAAAAAGCCAAGTGATGTTTTTTGCATGAATTTTAAAAAATATTTTTGCAGCAGTTTAATCAGCAAATTTCAAGGAACTTGAAGAGAAAGATGCTGGATCTATTTTATAGAGATTAACCTGTTTATTCACAGTGTCATAAGAAGTCATATCAAATCTAGCCAAAGAACATACACTTTATTTTTAGCCTCTGTAGTACTCCCATAGCACCATTTATTTAATTGCAAAATATATTCAAATGTATTCAACCAACTAAAAACCTTAATGCTTCAAAATTTTTATCCTAGACCAGTATTTTGAAACTAAGCATCAATAATAAGGTTATCAGCTTCATTTAACTGTGGAAGGCAGCAGAGATCTTGCATTTTACAACTGTATTACTAGTTTTTATTTTTCTTTTACAGTATCACAGAGAGCTCTGATATTCTGAAATATGCCAGTCTGTACCCACCACAGCCCACTATCTCTAGAGAAAGTGTTCTCAATTGGAAATAAATTCCAATCATCACAGCTAAGCAGTTCCTTAGACTAAAAGGGTTCTGAGTGATTTCATGGTAGGAAAAAATATAGTTAATGTAACACAGAAGAATTAAATTGTCAATTGAGGAGTCACATAGCAAATGAAAAGATTTCAGTGTCCACTGTGTGTCTATAATCATGCAAGGGCTACAATGAAACAAAGACCTGTGTGTCTCAGTCTGGCTTTATAATGAAAAATTCTTTGGTTTCATATGTTCTGGATTTTTTGCAAGCAAAATCCTAGAAACAGCTGTGCTCACATTTAAATTGGATTTTGAAAGGGCTCTTTCTCCTCTGTCAGATAGTTAGAAATCCTGCTGATGGTCCAATTTAAAATAAACTGATGATGTCATTTTGATAAAGCTCTTTCCTAGTTTCACATACCCAAGCATTTCAGACAAATTCAGACTTTCTGCTTTCTATGAAACATTTAAAAAGGTCAAGATACAATAAGACAAGAAATAAAGGTAGTGTCTTTATTAAGTTTGCATTCCAATACCAAGCCATGTGTGTGTCTACATGTACATTGTGTTGTGCTCAGGAAACTATATGCATACTGCACGTAGTGAAGTTTTTTTATTCCTACATCTATAAAATAATGGGATTGAAAATCATATCAACAGACAAAATGCTGCAAGTAGAAGTACAGTATTTATTTGTTTATTTTAAAACATCATTATATTGATAGAATATTATTTTAAAAGACCATAATATATTAATTCAAAACTAGGTTGTTATGCATATATACTTGAATTCTAAGTTTTCATACATATAATGAATGAAAATTGTATTTTACAAATAGCTCTTCGAATAGATCTTATGAAAAACATGTTTAAAAATAACTACCAAAACTTGCCTCTTTAAATATACAAAACACCCTTGCTGCACTGAGGATATCTTTCTTAAAAACCAAAAATATCTAAGTCAACAGCTGAGTCCACATCAAACCCTACTGAAAGTAGTAGTGACAAAAGAATTCAAAAGCACTGTACAAAGTAAGTACAGCTTTTGTTTAATACTGTACATATTTTTGTTTAAAACATGTTTTATAAAAACTGTTATTATTGAACTTAAAATCTTTTCCTGTCTGCAGAAAAAATTAGCCAGTGAAATTATCTCTGTTTACTAAAAGTTCTCATCTGAATGTGAATTGTCTCTCATAATTCTAAAGGAATTTCGCCACTTATTTCAATGCAAGCAGGACAGAAAGTTTTCTTCAGTGTATCACTGTGTAATCGCTCTTACTCTCACTTATTTTTGCCTTTAGTTTTATGATGCAAAACATTACAAAATCTTTAATACATTAACTGAAGAAATCAGAATGTAAATATTTCAGCTTAAGAGGCTGGTGCATGGATTTGTTTATTGCAAAACTGAGTGTTCAGTTAACTGAAACCAATCAAATAATGCTGCACGCTTTTTGATCAACACCCTGTCTCTCTCTTGTGTCCTTTATAGGCCCTTCTGGCATTTCTTCTGGAATGAACTTTTCAAGAAGGTGCGGTATCCTGGATCATCCACATATTCATTTTTAAACCGAGAACTCAATACTCTCTGCCTCTTCTTCTCTCCCAAGATAATATCTGCCCCATAAAATGTGTCTTCAAATCTCATGTCAGAGGCTGTAGACTAAAAGCAAACATTAATTACACACACAGGTTCATACAGGCTATCATATTTTGACAAAGAAAGGTTGCATGGAAACTCAGATATGTTTCACTAGATCACATTAAGTTAGCTCCATTACTGATTATTGAGTTAGAACTGTTTCAAGGAAAAATTCTAAATATTAAATGTTTTATATGCACCCATAAGATATAATTCTTAATTCTCCATATTTCCCACGTACTATTCATCATTTAATTATCTATGTCTGTAGTGTTCCTGATGTGACTCATTGTTAGTTTTTATTTTATCCAGAGGTCACATAATCAATCTAATTCAAGGTGGAAAACAGCAACATGAAAGTGATGCAATTGTAGGCCAGGTCTGATCCTAGCAGTATCAGTATCAAGTATTACCCATCACTTTGTGTTACTCAGAAAAGTTTTAAGTGCAAGGCAGGATGGCATGGACCCCTGACAACAAACCTGCACACTGCCCAGTTTACAAATAACTAGCATCACAAGTTCAGCTGTCTGTCAGCAAAGCTAAAACAGTTTCAGTTGAGAATCAACTGGAACAAAGCAGTAGGACAGCAAACAGCAATCTATTCCGGAAAAAAGCAGTGGCAGAAATTTTTGAACCAATTTCCACCACTGATGTCTAGGTAGGTTTAAGATTTCCAGGATTAGGAAAAGCATAATTTAGAATAAATTTGATTTATTTTTTTCAAGAGGACAGAAACAATACCATAAGATGTCTTTAGCTTGCACTGTTTTCAGCATAAGGAGAGGAAGGAAGTGCTGAGCATACCTTGAAGACTAAGTTACATGTTTATAGAATTTGAGGCAATACTAGGAAATAATTCAAGGGTTTGAACACAGCCTGTGATTTGTTTTACTTAGTTGATCAAATTCAGAGTGTTTAACCTATACTTAAGTCCCCTATGAAGTTAATAGTGTCAAATGAAATTTAAAAAATAAATCTATAAAAACTCAAATTTTAAAAAGAATAGCTAAACCAAACCACCTTTGTGTTGTTATCCATAGTGAAATACAACAGTTTACATTCTACAGAATGTGCAGTGAATTATAAATGCTTTCTAAACAATCTCTAAAACAAAAAAAGGTAATGAAATGTTTTCTGAATATATTTCATTGAATATAACTAGATGGTTCATTTAACATTTTCCGAGACATCTCTCTTAATCCTAGGTGGTCAAGACAGTGAAAGAAGAATGCACATACCCCCGAAACAATGATAAAAAGGTGTCATAGCCAAAAATATTTGATGACTGTACCCCCCATTAGAAAGCACTCTCATAACTTTGACCTGCTTACAAGACTGATTGACAGAGTCCCTTGGGAGGCTGCCTTGAAGGATAAAGGAGTCCAGGAAAGCTGGACATACTTCAAGAAAGAACTTTTAAAGGCACAAGAGCGGGATGTCCCCATGTGCTGGAAAATCAGTAAGCAGGGTAGGAGATCGGCCTGGCTAAATAGGGACCTTTGGCTAGACCTTAGGAACAAAAGGAGAGTCTGTGACCTTTGGAAGAGGGGACAGGTCACTCATGAAGTCTATAAAGATGAAGTGAACCCATGCAGGGTGAAAATTAGGAGAGGCAAAGCACAGCTAGAGCTCAAACTAGCTACTGCTGTTAGGGATGATAAAAAATGTTTCTATAACTTCTTTAACAGCAAAAGGAGGAAAGGAGGATTAGGGAAAATCTCCATCCTTTATTGGATGCAAAAGGAATCTTAGTAACAAAGGATGAGGAAAAGGCTGAGGTGCTCAATACCTACTTTGCCTCAGTCTTTAGCAGTGGAACGAGCTGTTCCATGGATATACAGCCACATGAGCTAGGAGACAGGGAAGGGATGCAGAATGAGGTCAGCACACTTAAGGAGGAAGTGGTCAGAGACCTACTACACCACTTAGATGCACACAAGTCTGTGGGACCGGATGGGCTACATCCAAGGGTGCTGAAAGAGTTGGCAGACGTGATCGCTTCCCATTATTTACCTGAAGTCCTGGCTAAGTTGGGAGGTTCCAATGGACTGGAGGGTAGCAAATATAATACCCATCTGTAAGAAACGCAGAAAGGAGGATCCGGGAAACTACAGACCTGTCAGTAAGGGAAAGGCTGTGGATATTGTCTACCTGGACCTCCAAAAAGCATTTGACACAGTTCCCCATAGCACTCTCATAAAAATACTGGCTGCTCATGGCCTGGAAGAGCACACGATCTGTTGGATCCAGCACTGGATGGACAGTCGGGCCCAACGAGTGGTGGTCAATGGAGTCAAATCCAGCTGGGGCTTGTCACAAGTGGTGTTCCTCAGGGCTCAGTGTTGGGACCATTTCTGTTTAACATCTTTACTGATGATCTTGATAAGGACATAGAGTGTATTATCAGTAAGTTTGCAGATTACACCAAGCTAGGCAGGAAACCCCATGCAACGCTACAGGCTTGGGGAAGTGTGGCTGGAAAGTGTCTGGCACAAAAGGACCTGGGGGTTCCAATTGATAAGCGGCTGAATATGAGCCAGCAGTGTGCCCAGGTGGCCAAGAAAGCCACTGGCATCCTGGCTTGTTTTAGAAATAGTGTGACCAGCAGAAGTAGAGAGGTGATTGTCCCCCTGTACTCAGCACTGGTGAGGCCACACCTGGAGTATTGTGTCCCGTCTTAGGCACCTCAATTCAAGAGAGATATCGAGGTGCAGGAGTGAGTACAGAGGAGGGCAACGAAGCTGGTGAGGGGCCTAGAGAATAAATCTTATGAAGAATGCTTGAAAGAGCTGGGAATGTTTTGTTTGAGGAAGAGGACGCTGAGGGGAGACCTCGTCAGTCTCTGCAACTACCTGAAAGGTCATTGTAGAGAGGTTGGTGCTGGTCTCTTCTCACAGGTCATTAGCGATAGAACAAGAGGGAATGGCTTCAAGCTGCAACAGGGGAGGTTTAGACTGGATATTAGGAGAATTTTTTTCACAGAGAGAGTGGTCAGACACTGGTGGTAAAGCCATCATCCCTGGATGTGTTTAAGGGTCGTTTGGATGTGGTGTTGTTAGATATGGTTTAGGAAAGAATTTTGTAGAGTAGGGATGATGGTTGGATTAGGTGATCCCAAGGGTCTTTTCTAACCTGAACGGTTCTGTCATTCTATGATTCTAATTGTACAGTGGCACTTTCCCTTCTCAAACGTTATGCTCTTCATGAATCTCAACACCTTGTCACATGGCATACATATAAAAAACTAACTGATGGATGTCCAAAGCTGCAAGAAACTCAAAAAACATAGTGAAGATTTAGTTTTGAACCCAAGGCTGGTTAAATGTTTGCCAGTGACATTTATGACTTCTTATCAGGTACTTTGTTTCTTACAACAAATTAATGTTCTGAAAATTGTAGAGTTGTAAAAATACTTGCTATAAACATACTGAAAGAACAGAATATCTGTAAATTTAAAAATCTTACCAACTTGGTAATTCATGATCTGACAGAAAAATCTACAAGGATGTCCCTTGTAGGAGATAACATTTATGCTTGACAACAGCATTTTCCTGTACTGGAAGAACAACTAGCCATTCTCAATAGCAAATGGACACTTGTACTAATTGAGCAAATTTAGTCAGCCATTTTGGCTACACAAAGCATTTGTACAATTTATACTGAAATGCAGAATAAAGCCAAACATAGTGTTATTTGGATTCTGAGCATATATATATATATATACACTAGAAAGATATCATCAGCAAAAACTTACAAAACGTGCTTTTACTCTCTTAGGAAGCTCTTCATCAAGAGTGTAGATCTCTTCTCTCTTCATTACTATTTGAGAACCATCTTCAAACTCAACCTAATTGAAAAAATGGGTATTTAAAAATAGAATAATAATTTAACTGTTGTGTGAAGTTTATCAGAAAGTATACAGACAAAAATACATGTGCAAACACCAAAGATTTTTATACAATTATTTTGCTATTTTAGGAAGGCAGTATTAGGACAAAGCATAAAAGGTATTCTTTTTTTAAGAACTGCAACACATTCGTAAGTTGAAAATAATGTCTAAGCAAAGAGACTTCACAATCAACTCACACACATATACAATAAAGTAAAATTTACTGGATTAGGAATGCCAAGCAGTAACAACACAGACAACATTATTTTGCAGAAATGACATATTAAAATGTCTTTTTGTCATTTTTATTTGCCTTTAATTTCTTTTTTACTTGCTTCTAATAACAAAAAGAAAATTAAATATTTAATTCTATCATACTCTGCTTCAAGGCTGAGGAAAATCCTGTCAAAAGAAAGAAAGTATGAGTGACAGCTAAGGAAATACCAGTTAACAGAATGTTATTGAATCTGATGGAATTTCTTTAAAATGCTCTGTTCAGAAGATGAAAAGTTTTATCATGCTTAGGTTTAGATTTAATCCAACATGAACCCTGTTAGCAGAAAATAAGAAAGGAAATGTAACTAGGTGTTGGGAATGTTAAAATGCTGAGGCTATGAAGCATTTAAGTCTGTTCAGTAGCTGCTGATTTTTTTTTTTAATACTTCATCCAAGAATTGTGAAGTTCAGCTATTATCTATGACTGCAGTTTCAGTTCTCACAGGAACTGTACTTTGAAGTTTATTATAAACGTAAAAGAAGTCCCATTCCACATTGTAAAGTGACTTAATGAGACCATATGAACGACAACAACAGACTTATGTTGAAAGAGTAAGCCTAAATACATATAGAGGAAAATATTATCTTATCAAAAGTATTATCATAGATACAAGCGAACAATTACAAATTGAACTTGTAAATGGAATGAGTTTTGTAGATTCAAATTAAAACCTTGCCATGACTGACTATGTCAGATTAATTACAAACACCTGAAAAATTCAATATAGCATATCTACTCTCAGAAGTCAGGCTACAGATCTTTGGACTATTAACTTCTTTGAAAGCAATTTTTTTAGAGCATATTAAAATACATGCACAGATATGCAATACACTTAAAATACAGAGAGCACAGATGGATAGCGAAGTCATGAAAGTCATCCTGTAATGTTGTATACCTGGAGTTTGGTGAGGCCTTTGATACTGTCTCCCACAGTACTCTCCTGGAGAAGTTTGCAAATCATAACATAGAAAAGTGTATTCTGGGTAAAACACTGGCAGGATTGCTGTTCTTAGACAGTTGTGGAAAATGGGGTCAAATCTAGTTGTTGCCCAGTTACCAGTGGTGTCCCTCAGGGCTCAGTTTTAGGGCCAGTCTTGTTCAATGCCTTTCTCAGTGATCTGGATGAGGGGATCAAGTGCACCTCCAGTAAGTCTGCAGACAACACCAAATCAGGTGGGAGTGTCAATCTGCTAGACAGTAGGAAGGCTCTGGAGGGAGACCTAGACAGAGTGGATCGATGGGCTGAGGCCAATTGTATGAGGTTCAATAAGGCCAAGTGCTGGGTCCTGCTCTTCGGTCACAACAAACTCATGCAAAGCTACAGACCTGGGGAAGAGTGGCTAGAAAGTTGCCCCGCAGAAAAAGACCTGAGGGTGCTGGTTGACAGAAGGAACATAAGCCAGCAGTGTGCCCGGGTGGCCAAGAAAACCAACAGCATCCTAGCCTGCACTAGGAACAGTGTGGCCAGCAAGAGTAGTTATTGTCCTCTACTTGGCACTGGTGAGGCTGCATCTCAAGTACTGTGTTAATTTCTGGGCCCCTCACTATAAAAAGCACATTGAGGTGCTGCAGCATGTCCAGAGGAGAGCCACCAAGCTGGTGAAGGGTCTAGAGAACAAGTCATATGAGGAGTGACTGAAGTAACTGGGGTTGTTTAGTCTGAAGAAGAGGAGGTTGAGGGGAGACCTGATCACCCCCTACGACTACCTGAAAAGACGTTGTAGGGAGGTGGGTGCTTGTGCAGAATAGCAAGGGGAAAAGAAAAGGGGCCTCCTCTACCTGTAAAGAAGGAGACAAAGCAATATGAGACCAGCCAAGGACGAGGGCTTGCTGTGAGCAGCACTGTGAATGTCGACATAATCAGAACACTGCTTATCCTGTGTTGTGTGATTGGCTACATCCTGGGAATGCAAGGAGTGTGTATGTGCCAACGAGCAGCTGTGAGTGCTGTTTACATTCTCTGTATCCCAGCTGCTTACTCTCAGTCCCCAGTGTAAAAGTATATAAGGGAGCATTCTCTTAAAATAAATTATGCATTGCTTCTCACCCTGGAGTCTGTCTTAGCACACCACAGGTGCTGGCCTCTTCTCCCAAGTAAATAGCAACAGGACCAGAGGAAGTGGCCTTAGGTTGTAGGAGGGGACATTTAGATCGGACATTAAGAAGAATTTCTTTACTGAAATAGTGATGAGGCACTGGAACAGCCTGCCCAGGGAGGTGGTGGAGTCACCATCCTTGGAGGTATTCAAGAAACATGCACATGTGGCACTTGAGGCCATGCTCTATTGGCTGAGGTTGTGGCGGTTTTTGTGAGTGTTTTTTGGTGGGGTGTTTTTATTTTGGTTGGTTTGTTGGTGTTTGTGGGTTTTTGTTTTGCGTTTTTGTTTGTTTGTTGTTCATTTGTTTGTTTGGGGTTTTTTTTTGTGTTGATGGCTGGACTCAGTGATCTCGGAGGTCCTTTCCAACCATGACAACTCTATGTTTCTGTGATCCTTGCTCCTCTCTGTTCTTGTTACTAACCCCATAAGCCTGGTAGGCTAGTGGCATGTTACAGGACCTTAGAGGTCAATTTGGCTTAAGCATGTATAATAAAACTATGGCAGTTCAAGTATTTTTCACTGGGATTCAGGAGTGGCTTTTCCTTATTGCACAATAGATTTGGTAATATGTTTAGCATAATACAGTTAGTAATTATGCTTTTAATATTTTTTGCATCACTGTTGAAAGAACTGGACAGGAAATGAACTCTGCCAGATCCATGAGATCAGAAAACCATCTCCTGGATGGACAATTTTTTTTTTTTAAGTTTTTAAAATCTGGTAGTTTACAGCAGCAAGCAACTGCATCAAGCCACAGAATTTGGTACGTTTGCAGTATGAAATATATTGAACATTTACAATAAAGACTAACTGTAAGTTCTTCAGCTCTAATTCAGCATACTACACTGGAAATAAATTTGCTGTATCATTAAAGGCAAACATAAGAGCTCTTACGACTTTCAACAGTATCGTGACTCATGCAAAATAAAACCCCACAATCTCTATTAGGTCAAATTTAATTTAGACTTCAGGTACTACAGTTCAAATCATGAGTTTTATCGAGCAAGTTATTTTATTTGGACTTCTGCTGCTGTACTGTGTTATTCTCTCTATGAGATTTTATCAGAACATCATAAATTAAAGGATCAGCTGAAATTGTTAGAAAGCAGCTAATGGATAATTTAATAATCTCAAGTGAAGCTCAAAAATAAATAGTGAACCACAATATAAAAAATTATCAAGACATCAAATGTAGATTGCATTTACAATTTCACTTGAACACCTGCTTCATTTGGCATGTGTAACTCTGCTTAGAGATAGCCTAAGATACTGAGTTATCAATGTCCAAGCGGATGGCACAAATTCTGGTGCATTATGTCACAGCTCCTGCATGCACAAGTACTGTCATACTCAGTACAAATGTCTCATGAATATCAGGAAAACCCACAGATCTATCCAAGTCGAACACCTGTGCCTTACTAGGTCATAACACTTATTTGAGAGAGTCCTTTTCAGTCTCTCCTTTTGTCTCGGATATCACAAAAGAGTTGGTAAGAGACACTTGAGGCTGTAACAGAGATCTTGCAACCCAGAAGAATGGACTATGTGTATACATTGGTACTGGGGAGCTATCAGCCAGGCTGTGTAGATAAGAGCTACTAACTCATCTTGAAGTTAGCCTTGCAGTCTCCAGGTAACAGACTTTCTGTAATATATGACCATGTTGTAGCAGCCTCCTCTCCTCCTTTACAGATTGAAATAGCTGTCTGTCTCTAAAGTCCTATGTAGTGCAATCTGGACTCCTGATAATCTTTAATCTTTGCTGTTTCCCCTGTGACAGGGGATCATTATAAGGCAGTTTACAGCAATCTCCCATTATTGTTATGCTGAGGAACTTCAACATTTACTGAACCACCACATGCTAATCCACTTTCCTTAAACTAAACTGACTTCATCATGTCGTCCAAGAGGTCCAAAATAAGAGAAAGAATTTTGACTATGTCAGATTCCTTCAAATATGAAACTTGTAAACATTCATCTAATCTATCCCACAGTATTCCTCAGAAGACCAGCTGTTTAGAAGATTAAATTATATGAAGATTAATGCTACTGAAGAACAATTATCTTTATATTTTATGAAGAATTTTTCACCTTCACGATGTAACACAGTGGCTAAATATAAGGGAAGAGTTAAGATTTAGAGACTAGATCAAGGGATCAGACATAGACCAGTCAGTCTCACCTCTGTGTCTGGCAAGATCATGGAGCAGATCCTCCTTAAGGCTCTGCGAAGGCATGAGGAAAGCAAAGGGGTGACTGGTGCAACCAATGTGGCTTCACCAAGGGCAAGTCCTGCCTGACTAATTTGGTGGCCTTTTATGATGGCATCACAGCATCAGTGGACTAAGAAAGAGCAACCAACATCATCTACCTGGACCTGTGCAAAACCTTGATACTGTCCAGCATGACACCCTGGTATAAAAACTGGAACAGTATGGATTCGATGGATGGACCACTCGTTGCATAAAGAACTGGCTGGATGGTTGCACTCAGAAGGGTGGTGATCAACAGCTCCATGTCCAGATGGAGAACTGTGAGGAGTTGTGCTTCCCAAGGGTTGCTACTTGTGCTGTTTAACATCTTTGTTAGTGACAAGGACAGTGGCATTGAGTGCACCCTCAGCAGTTTGCTGATGATACCAAAGTGTGTGGTGAAGTCATCACGCTGGAGGGAAGTGAAGCCATTGAGAGGGTCCCTGACAGGCTTGAGAAGTGGGCTTGTGCAAACTGCATGAAGTTCAACCAGGCCAAGTGCAAGGTCCTGCACCTGGCTTGGGGCAATCTCAGACACAAATAAAGGCTGGGTGGAAAATCGATCAAAAATAGTCTGGAGGAGAATGACTTGGGAGTGATGGTGGACGAGAAGCTCAAAATAAGCCAGTACTGTGCGCCTGCAGCCCAGAAAGCCAACCATGTCCTGGGCTGCATCAAAAGAAGTGTATCCTGTAGGTCAAAAGAGGTGACTCTTCCTCTTCACTTGGCTCTCGTGAGACCTCACCTGTAGTACTGTGTCCAGTTCTGGAGCCCCTAACATAAGAAGGACACGGAGCTCATGGAAAAGGTCCAGAGAAGGGCAGCGAAGACAATTTGAGGGCTGGAGCACCTCTCCTATACAAACAGGATGAGAAAGTTTAGGCTGTTCAGCCTGAAGAAGGGAAGGCTCTGGGGAGACCTTATAGTGGCCTCCCAGTATCTGAAGAGGGCCTATAGGAAAACTGGGGAGGAACTTCTGACAAGGGCATGTGGTGAGAGGACAAAGCATAATGGATCAAAACTGAAAAGGGGAGATATAGGTTAGACATTAGTAGGAAATTCTTTAGTGTGAGGTTGAGATGCTGGAACAGGTTGCCTAGGGAAGTTCTGGAAGGCCCCTCCCTGGAAGTGTTCAAACCAGGTTGGATAGTCCTATTCAACTCAAACCATTCTATGATTCTGTGATGACTTGAGTTCCATCGCAAGTCATTGGCAAAGTGAGAAGGTCAATGCAGCAAGTAATTTACCCTCCTTGTGCTTTGATTTATCTACAGATAGAATAGTAAATTCGCCATTTTCATGGAGTAATGTGAAGCCCTCAGATGAAAAGAATTACATAAGTGAAAATTATTATATGTATATAAATGAAAGGTACCTAGATTCTCATTCTTTCAGAAGTGCTGTTATTGTGATTGTTCTACTGCAGCTTTAACCACGGACTTGTGTACTCAAAGCTGCTGATTTTTCTCAAAGGCAAGTACGTAAAAAAACAATTATTGTGTCTCTGAAATCAGAAGTCAACTTTTTAGCCTTGCCTTTAGTGTTCAGATCCCTTCTGCCTTTGCTGACGATAAAACACTCCTTAGACTATGTGTTAATTCATTCAAAAGTGCCTCAGACAAATGAAAGTGGGAGTATTTATGCTCTTCTTTTTACTGTCCAGCCTTTTACAAAATATTTAAGGTTCATTGTAGTCAGAAGCCAATATTTATTTTTTTTATCATTAATTGTAAAATTACTTGACATAAAAGTGAATAACCTGGATAAAAAAATAAATGTTATCTTTTAATCTTAAGGTCCACCTTTTCACCTGAGTTGTTATAAAATAACCCATTTTCTTGGTTTCATAAGCACAGCACTTGTTAATGGTTTAGGCTGCTTTATTTATTATTTCAAATTCATTAACAGTTACTGTAAGAGTCCACACTCCAGAGTTCTGCAGCTTTGAAGGTACAGCTGGCCACTCCACTGCTACAGGAAATTAACAATTTGCAATAAAGACATCTGAAAAACAGGCACCTGGTAATAAATATAGACTCTTACCTGATACATGTGAGCTGTGTTTGTTCCCAGATACTTTGCACCATACAGTTTTCCATCAGGCCACTTCACTTGGACAACCTCTCCCTCTGCAGGTGGGCCCAGCCTTAGGCAATCTCTGCTCTATTTACAAAGAAGGATGGATTCTCAAATCAGTGAGTGAGCCACTACTCTTTGAAATAAGCAGTAAGCTGCTTTTTACAACTTGGTAATTGGAGGAGATTCATTACCATTGGTGTTTCAAGTTTCAAAATCCTACTAATAAGCTAATGGAAGATACTGTTAGCCTTTCTGAAAATTAAATACTGACCAAAGAAGCATTCCTTTTACAGCTTGATGCTGCATTGTCAAGGCAACATATGCATAAATCAGACAGGCATCAATAACTGTGATACATTTCCTTCAAGAATATTTACTATCACACATTGAAAATAAAGGACAGTAAAGTGCAATTGTGTATGTGCAACACTTTTTCTTTTGCATATTGAAGTAACTCACGTTTTGTTAACCACAGCATAATTTTGCTGGATACTAACTTTGCGGTCTGAAACATACCATGATGGATCCATGGTGAGAATGCCAATGAATCCTTTGCTTAGCTGCTGAAGAAACGCTGAAGGAATCCAAATGCTTACAAACAAGAACTAAGTGAGATTTTTTTTTTTTTTTTAATTCCAGGAGATACAAAGCAGGTGTTTTTTTCCCTGTGTTTTGGCCAAGTTTTGTGCCTGACTTGTTGAGCATGTCAGAGCAGCATATCTTATGCTAGCTGCAATATATCCTTGTAATGTTTTGTTTTGCCCCATATGGTTCAGTATGAACTAAATTACTCATTTTCAGAGCACACATACCACACACCCATAACAGCAGCTGTCTGCATGAGGAAATACATGAAGAATCACAAAAAGATCATGTCAGATCTGTGCTCACTAATTCTCTGCCAAATACTCATCCCAAAAAAGGTGTCTATTCTTTGTACTTACTACATCACAAGCCATGTAAATTGTTATTTAAATCAGTGCTAATGTAGTGGTATTGTCCTATGTGTGAGAGGACATATTCGATGACCATGTTATCTCAGCTCACTAAGGTAAAAGGTCTAGACTGGGAAGAGAAAAGATAAAGCCAAGGACTCTGGTACAAAGACTCAATGACAAAGTCCTTCAGGACTTGGTATTATCTCAGGTTGCTGCAGTACCATTACCATTTTCAAAGTCTCAGATTTACATAGAATAATTTGCAAAAATATTTTATGTTTTTTAGTTCAACAGTTCACATCCAGCAGAAGCCAATAATCATCATGACAAAGAACTCAAAATGTACGAGCAAAAATGCACCATAGTGATCCTTACTGGGACATTACCTTGTTATAATATGCTAGCCAAATCCAGGCTTTACAAGCTGTTTTTAATCACACACATCTTAATCCATTATTTTGATTCAACACATGGGAAAAGAAAAGCACACCTTCCTGCATGACACTACTGTCTCCGTCATCCCTTAGGTGCTGTGCAAGGGGACAGCTCTAAAATCTGTCTGCATGTTTGCTTGGCGAAGGTTGCTGTGACAGACATAGAGAGACTTACCCTTTCAGCTTCAACATGTATTTGAGATAGTGTGTGGCATTACTGTATTACCCTTCCTGTATTTCCAGGAGAGGCAAGGGGAAAGGGGAGAGGATGGCTGCTGCCTGCTTTCCAACAGTGGCATAATCATGACTTCTTAGGGATCAAGGATTACTAAATACTATCATAGCTCTGACTATAAATTAAATTAGATTGTAGTTTTAATGCTCTCTTCTCAGTGATGACTGTCAAGATTATTGTCATTATCATACTTCTTCTTCTACCTATTTACTACTAAAGTGAGAAAGGAGTCTTAGCTAAGTGTCTTGAATCAAACTTAAAAAGCATCATGGAAGATAGCTAATTTCCTGAAAACAATCAATCTATCAACAATGTCAAGCCAGACTAATTTTCCAAGATCAAAAGCCCAGCATGAATTCCTCCCTTTGCACCTTGCACAAGAAAAACATCTCACAGCTTCTCTAGGAGAGCTAATGGAATTGCTCATATGGAAAATTAGAGTTCTCATGCAAATAACTAGACAAATAACAAACCTATTCTTCATGTATCACAACAATGTCTTAGCCTATGGAACAATGTTTGGGAAACATGTACTAAATAGTTTTTGTTGATTTCTGCCAGAATTTCTACATAATATTTTCACATTGCATAACCATTTTAAATATTCTATTTTTTTTTTTTTTCAGCAAAAATAATTATCACCAATATCTTCTGGGAAATGAATAGACCCACTTCTTAGACTGACAAAATTGCAAAAATGCAGCCTCACTTTTCTCAGTCATACAATGAAAAATCAGATGTAAAAATATAGCAATCCTTCAAAATTCCCCTACACAAGCTGTAAATAACGTAGTGTGGATTCAGTCCACATTCAGCTTGTAAACCATGTACATTTCCAGTACAATTACATATTATATTCTGTTCTTCACACAAACAGACAAAATCATGCTTATCTATACCCAAAAGAATACTAATTTAAGTGCCCAGTTTCACATTTCAGCTTTTTTCACAGGTCAGAGCTCCAGCTCCAGGCATGGTCAGCTACAGAAGGTTACTGAAGGAAATGTCCAGTTCAGTTTCAGTATCTCCAAGGATGAGCAGTTCAGAACCTCCCTGGGCAACTAGCCCAGCATTCAACAACACTCACAGTAAAGAAGTATTTTTTTAAGTGAAGAAAAATTCCACGTTAAGGAATTTCCTATATTTCAGTCGGTATGTAACGTATTTTATTTGGTCACTGCACCACTGAAAAGCTCCATCTTTTTTACTTCCCCCATTGGGTATCTGTACACTTGGATAAGATTACCCTGAGTCTGCTGTTCTCTGGGCTGAACAGTTCCAGCTTTCTCAGCCTCTCCTCATGCTCCAGTCCCTTCATCATTTTAATATCTTTTTAGCGTATCTGCTCCTGAATATCCACATTTTTCTGTACATGTGGATCCATAACTGGGCACAGCACTCCAAATATGATCTCACCAGTGCTAGGTTTCTGATCTGATGAAAATGGAAATGGATTTTCTTCATCCTAATAGTAGAAGTTCCACAGAATACTCACGTTAATGGAAGAGTGGGAAGCAAAAGCAGCTTTTAAAGCAAGACATACTATTAGTTATCAATTGAAGGATTGAACTGGGGACCTGTACACTCCCAAATCTTCTATCCTCTCAAGTCAGGGTAGAACTATATCATCAAAACAATTAACAAGAGCCAGGTGATCTGACAAAGGTGCTCTCTGATTTGAATAGACAAGTATTGTCATTTTTCCATTTCACAGAATCACTGAAACACGGAATTGTCAGAGTTGGAAGAGATCTCCAGAGATCATCTGGTCCATCTCCTCCACTAAAGGAGCATTGCCTACAGCACACCACTGAGGACTGCATCAGGGCAAGTTTTTACCATCTCTAGAGAAGGGGACTCCACAAACTCTGTGGGCATCCTGTTGCAGTGCTTTGTCATCCTCACCACAAATAAGTTTCTTCTCGTATTTAAATTGAACTTCCCATGTTCCAGCTTGTGCCCATTTCCCCTCATCCTGTCACTGGCAGCTACAGAAAAGAGCCTGGCTCCATCCTCCTTGCACTCAGCTTTGAGACACTTAGAGACATAAATAAGGCCTCTCCTCAGCCTTCTCTTCTCCAGGCTAAGAAGTCCCAGCTTTCTCAGCCTTTCCTCATTAAGGGAGATGCTCCAATCCCCAAGCATCTTTCTTGCCCTCCTCTGGACTCTCTCCAGTAGTTCCCTGTCCCTCTTGAACTGGGGAGCCCAGAACTGGACACAATATTCCAGATGTAGCCTCACCAGGGCAGAGTAGAGGGGGAGAGTGACCTCTCTCAACCTACT